AATAGGACTTGTTCTCTTATTAAAGAAACTCCAGTTCAAACCTCAGTGTCAAAAAAAAAAAAAAAAAAGACACCTGAGTGCACCTTTGCTCCTTCTACCATATAAGGACAAGGACAAGATGCCAACTGTGAAACAGAAAGTTGGCCCTCACCACTACCCAGGTTCCTATTATGTAAGTAAAGTTTAATGGAAAATTGTCGAGTTCATTCATCTGCATATTGCCTGAAGCTGTGTTCCTGGCTCCAACAGCAGAATTCAGTAGTTAAGACTGAAAATAAATGGTCCACAAAGTCTAAACTACTTGCTACCTGGTTCTTTGCAGAAAATGAGGTGGCCCTTAGATTAACTGATTCCCAAATTTCTCCAGTGAATGGTGCTGCTCTATTACAACAAACAAATACAGGAGATATGTTACAACTCTGCTTTTTAATGTTTTGAATTAGAGGGTCACTACAGTGTGTCCACTTGGAATAATGTGGATGATACTATAAAAGAGCTTGCTTAGCATACATTGTTTCCTTTTAGTATGCTTTTGCTGTGGAAGCTGCAAGGAGTCTTTCTCAGACTCCTTTGTAGTACGAGTTCCAGATATGGCTTAGGTTTAATTAACTATAGTCACCTAGGTGACATTTAGAAGGCAGAGGTGGTACTTTTTCTACTTCTATTATTTTCGAAGTTTGGTCACAGAAATACGTAGATTTTTTTTTTCTATTGGCTCTAATGGGCTCTCAGGTCCAGTTCCTAGCTTCAAAAGTATCATAAGACAGAGTAGAGGGCATCGATTTTGTTGATGTAAGTCATGTCACACCATATGGCTCTGAAGATATTAACTGCATTGAAGTATAGCCAAAAAAAAGAAGAATAGCCAAAACACACATTTTCCTGACACAGAAGGAGCAATACCTGCCCAACCTGCCCAATTACGCACACTATGTAGTTCCTGAAGTCTAAATTTCCCAGGTGAATGATGCTGCTGTGAATTAGCTAACATAAAAAGTAAGCTAAGCTTATGGCCTTTTCCTTGAGCCTTCCCTATTACATTCTGTAACAAAACACTGTTTACTAAATTTTGCTAAGTAGATCTGTTGTTTACAAGCAAGTACTAACCAATACAAACATCCTGAGACATATATATATATAAGACCAGGAGTTTAGAAAAGAGGTCTGGGATAGAGATTCAGATTGAGATTTGAAAGTTATTAGCAACTAGAAGTGTCTGAGATCATCAATGAAAAGCATTTAGAGTAAAAACCACAAACACTAAAGAAATGAGAAGTTAAGGATAAGAAAGAAATCCAAAAGCAATGGCAAGAGAAGAGAGGACAGAAAACAGGAAGACCTGGAATTAGAGAAACCAAGAGAGGAGGGGTGTCAAGAAGTTCAAATGATCATTACAGTAAAAAATTTGAGAAGCAAAAAAGGCCAAGCGTTTTGGGAAATTTGGAGTTCAATTGTGACATAGTCAAAGTAGGCATAATTCTCACATATGAGAAGCCAGAATAGAGAAAACTGGTGACTACATGAAAAGGAGATAGGCAATGGAAGTATGGCTCAAGTGGTAGAGCACTTGCCCAGTAAGCACAAGGCCTTGAGTTCAAACTCTAGTACAGCCAAGAAAGAAAAAGAGACCGTAAGAGCAGTCTAAACAGTCTATTCAACCAAATAGTTTAGTTGTGAAGTAAAGAGAATAGGAATAGTTACATTATAAGTGACAGCCATATAAACAATTAAAATCCAAGATTCCTTTTTCCTCTTCCATGGGAAGAGGTAACTTTAGTATCTTTGTGTGCTGCTAGAAGGGAAAAGACTGAAGATTCAGAGAAGCAAAAGAGCAAAGCACAAGATAAGCACACCAAGGGTGGGTGTGAAATTAGCCTTAATAGGAAAGTAAAAATCGGATGGAGGAAGGGAGGAGAGATGGGAAAAAAAAAGAACAACTGAGGGGGTTCACCTGATCAAAGTGTTACTGGTGCTGGTGCAGTCTGTGATCAGAAGATCCTAGTTTTTGTGCTCCAAATGGAAAAAAAAAAAAAAAAAATCCAAGCAGAGCACGTGGATGGGGTGAGGTAAGATAGCTTTATTGAGAAAAGGGGAGTCACCTGTTCTACCAGGTGAGGAAAGGGAAGAAGAGGGCACAGTGGGCACAGGTGGAGTCTGCAGGCAGAAAAAGCTGCTCTTCTTTTTCAGATGCCTTTAAAACCTACGTTACCCCACGGGAGGGCAGGCCCAGGAGGTTCACACCCAATAATGAGCAAGTGGGGAGGGACATGGGCGGTACCCAGCCAGATGAGGGTGGTCTGCCTATCAAGGCAACCTACATGAGCCCCAAACTTTTCCTACTTCTAGCCTGCATCAAAAGTACAATATATGAATGTATGCAAATACCAGAGTAAACCCCCTTTGTACATCTTTGGGAATGAAGTTAACAGAAAGTTCAACAAAACTCATGTTTCATGGCCTTGATTTTCCTTGTAAAGAGACAAGATCATCTTATGACAATAGAAGGGACAGGACTGGAAATTGAGAGTGAATAAAAAACATCTGAAACAGTCATTTGTGAAATGAAAGAGTGCTGGACATACTAGAAAGTAATGAGATCCCAGCTGCACTTAAGAACCGTAAATTTGAATTATATTAATCTTACAGTTGTCTGGTTTTCGTTTTGTTTTTAAAAAGCATGGAAGCAAAAGTAGTAATAAATGTTCAATGACCCACAGATGGCATTTTGCTGTGCAGCTCGGTAGAAAGACATGGGTAAAGAATTTGGAAGTATTATTAAAGCAATGGATCTTAGTTCTAGACTTAATGAATCAGACACTTTCAGCATTGACTCAGCTATCTATGTTTTAAAAAGTCCTCCCAGCAAATTCTGATACATGATAAAGTTTGAGAATTACTAGTTAGGAGAACAGTTGAAGAGCCAGATCTTAGAACAACTTAATTTAGAAAAATATTAGAGACAGAGAAAAGGACAGAAATATGGTTGACAGAGTACAAAACTATCTAGTAGTAAAGACAGGTGATATTCTGAATAAAAAACCAGTGTGCTATATGAATGAATATGTATTATAATAGGAACAGGGGACAAGGCAGAAAAAATAGGAGTCTTTGTCAAAGAATGCAACACAAAAGACCTAGACCAAATGGTAATTATGACAATAACCAAAGATAATAGTAGGAACAAATTGCTAATGTACAACAGAAGGGGAGGGTAACAGACTCAAGTTTGGGCCAGTAGATATAAACTACTGTAGGTTTAATTTGTGGTAGCACTCTCTTCTTCAGGTACATGGATTATGGGATTTGGGATGCAGAGAAAACCTTACTGCCTAAGTCCTGGATGAATATATGGGAGAAACAAAGGTATTAAGAGACTAAAGCAACCACATAAGGAAGAGGACAATATACGTGTAAGTCAATTCCCAGTTTAAAATCCCAAAGAAGGTATAACTTGTATAGGATAAAAGATTACAGAATCAAATTTAACAGCCACTCTCTAGGAAGGCAACTGTTCTTTTTTTTTTTAATAACACAGGGCCCAGCACTCTGGAAGGTGCACTGGCCGTGCCACAGTGACCTCCTGCTGCCCTGTCCGGCACTGGACTTCATTTTTTTGTTTGTTTTGTTTTATTGGTGGCGCTGAGGTTTGAACTCAGGGCTTCATACTTGCTAGGCAGGCCTCTTACCGCTTGAGCCACTGTGCCAGCCCAAACAACTGCTCTTTCTTAATTCAGGCAGAAAATCTGAGAATAGAGTTGTTCTTTCCTTATCTTTTAAGGATCTAAAAAAATTTCTCTCTCATAAATAAAGTAGAAAAAACTTTACTTTTAAAACATTATAAGCCTTTTGTCCTCAGAGACAGACTTAAAGTTAAAACATTATTGACAAAACAGATAAAACTGATCGTAAGTGTCAGAATTTGGGGAAGAGGGAAAGAGAAGGAACTTTGGAGAGGCTGAGACTCAAGGAGAGCTGGTAATGTCTTATTGTTGCCCTTGGTTTTGATTCCACAGATATGTGTTCACTGTGGTGTTTCCTTCCATATGTATACTTTTTCACTTTTCATTATGTATATGAAATTCGATTTTAAAAATATAACTGATAGGCTATTTAAAACTTATAACTACTTAGGAATCAGAAAATAAGCACATTCCTGATTTAGATACTACTTAAAGTATTAAATAGTAATTATATTATTTTTATCCAGTACTAATTTACAAAATTAAATTTCTATGAAAAAAGTCTAATAAATGTATTTAGGTCCAAAACAACTGGAGAAAATATCTAGATATAATAAAAATGCAGAACTGACAGAGTTCTAATTTGTTGAGTTTTTTTGAGTGGAAAGGGTTACTGGAGATCAAACCTAAGGCCTTAAGCAGGCTACCATTGAGATATATCCTCAGTCCTTAATTTGCAGATTTTAAGGCACAATATGCTTGGGTTTCTTCTTTAAGCATGAGAAAATGATAGCTTCGGAGAAATCTCAAATCGTTTTCTTTTCCTTTTTTGTAATATGGGCACCTTTGCTTAAGTGGACACCATTCTATGGCTAGAGTATTTAAAGTCTGGATCCAAACTATTTCATTTACTAGTTATATGATCTTTAACAAATTGTTTAAAGTCTCTGTTTTACCATCTATAAAACAGAAATAACAGTAATAGCAACCTTATTGGATTGGTGAAAGGATGCCTTGCAAAAAGCAGGTACATTCCACAAGTTTTAACTATGTATCCACATACATATGCACATCATATAAGATATTTCTCATATCACATATGTAATACAATAGAAACCTTTAAGCCTATTTTAGAATTAAACATATCAAATATGTTAAATAAATTTCCCTGTGCTTATGTATACTCTACTCTCCAATTTAATTGTAGTCATAGTTATTCAGTGATACAATACAGGCATATGTTACAGTTTTGAATCCAAAGACAAATGTTCATTGTATCCCAACATATTTTCCACATTAAAAAAGTGATATTTTTATTACCTGAGTCTCCACTCCCTGCTCTAGCAGGCGCTTAGCTTGATTTTCCACTTCAAGTCGAGCTCTTGCAATAAAAAGTAGATCATTTTCAATTACTTCTATTCCAGAAAGATCTATTCCTTGAGAAAGATAATCTATTAAAAAAATACATACATTTTAATAGTATCAAATAAATACCTAAGTATAAGAATATCATAATTTCAAAAATACTATAGATTTGCTATTAAATACAGTTCCTTTTTAAAATCTACATCCCCAGAAACAAAAAAGAAAAAAAATCTATAACCCAAGAATGTTTCTCAACATTTCTTACTTAATAAATAACTTTATAGTTAAATGTCCCAAATAAGATACAGTCAGTAAAGCAATGACAAAAATTATGATAATTACTAGCTCATCAACAGATTACATATTTTGTCAAATTTATTTTAATGTAAATAAATATCCTGTTATTTTCACAAATTTCTTAAGTTGCAACTAGTTTTAAAAAACATTTGAAACAAAGTTTCACTTCTATAGAAAATGATTAATAACTTATGAAAAACCTTCATATTTTGCCAGCAGACCTAACAGTTACATTGAAGGATTTTCATAGTACTAAAAGAAAAAAATTGCATGGATGAATTGACTATGATATACACAAACATGCATAGTAAGAATGGTGAAAAGATTTTACTAGGCTCAGCATAGCGGTACATGTCTGTAATCCAGGCTAGACAGGAGGATTACAGGTGAGTTAATTTTTTCAGTTAAAAAGAATATCAAATGTTATTTTTCATTATATTCTCTTAATTGGAACTATTTTTTAATCTTTAGTCTTATTAAAACAGATTCTTAGCACTTATATATTATCATAGTTTAGTTAAGTTGGCTTATCACACACTACCTAAGTCAAACCACATTAAAACATCCAATATAGTGGGTGCCAGTGGCTCACACCTGCGATCCTAACTATTCAAGAGGCAAAGATCAGGAGGGTCATGATTCAAAGTCATCCCCGGACAAATAGTTAGTGAGACCCCCATCTCAAAAAAAAACACCCATCACAAAAAAGGGCTGGTGGAGTGGCTCAAGTGATGCACTTGCCTAGCAAGCATGAGGCTCTGGTGATGAAACCAAAAAAAAAGAAAAAAGAAATTCAATACAAAGCTAACTAACCACTTAGCAGCTTCAAATACTTACTCACTGAACACTATATAGATCTCTGTATATTAGAGGATAAAAGGAGATAATACAAAGGGTAATTATATTGAGGTTATTGGTAATTGTACTTGAAACACAAGCATTTTTTTTTAAATGTGTATATCCAAAAGGACTTAAGGCTTACCATAGTCAAAAAATTACTGAAAATGCCATCAAAACTTTGAGCATAGATATTCCCTCCAACTCACTATGTGATCACAGTCACATGATATAGACTCCTGGAATTTCAGGTATATTTCATCTGTAAAATGGCGACAATTTATAATTCATGCCCTACATACTCTTTAAACTATCATCACAATCAAATTAATACAATAACGAATGCCAAACTATGCTATGTGCCAATCTATTAGATACAATGAATGTGAACTGTAATACAAAAGAAATAAAATATTTTCATTAAAAATTTTATTCTTCAGAGAATTTTGAGAGAAGAGAGTATTATATACAAAGAACAGATGGTATTCCTCCTATATTCTTCCAATTTTCTCACTGAAAATGTAGATACACTGGACACAGTGGTTCATGCCTGTAATTCCATCTATTGAGGAGGTGGAGATTGGAAGGATCAGGGTTCCAGGCCAGCCCAAATAAAAAGTTAGTGAAACCCCCATCTTAAGGAAAAAGCTGGTCATGGTGGTGTACACAGGAAGCTTAAGTAGGAAGATCATAGTACAGGCTGGCCAAAGCGGGGAAAAAAATGGGAGACCCTATCCCCAAAATAGCTAACATGTAACAGACTGGAGGTATGGCTCAAGTGGTAGAGGATTTGCCTAGCCAGCACAAGGCCCTGAGTTCAAACTACATACAGTACAGCCAAAAAAAAAGAAAATATATAAAAAGTAGCTAAGTTAAAACAATGATGGTGTTAAATAACTAGCATTCTGAGACTAATAAAAAGCATTTAAAATGTATAAAATGCCAAATTTTGAAATAGGTCAGCATTACTAACACTATGACAATTAAACCTTAGTAAGCATAGAGTACACAGACAGAAGTAGCTTCCTAGCCACTAAATATTAATACCTGTTGAATTTCTTTATGTACCATTAATATGTATGAGGAAACTAAGCCGATTTACTTAGATTTGATGGACTTATCATATCCTTAGAAGTGAGAAAATTATGAGTCTGTTGCTTTTGGTAGAAAGGAAGTGATGTTAATCACCTTGAATACTGCATAAAGAGTATACTATGGAGAATACTAAGCTCAATAACAACTCTAAAATAGGACAAAACAACCAACCTCCACAAAATAACACCAAACAATGTGATGGTGTTGTAATACTGACAGAACTAATCCATCCAATCAAAACATAGAGTTAAAACAAAACTAAATCACCCAAAACTCCAACAAAGGCACTCTGATTTTAATTTCCTTATTCTAGGTTTAAATAGTGGGGGGTTTTATATTTGGTATATTTTAATCATATTTAAGTAGCTATCTTGAATCTCATAATAAAACATGCTTGTGGTGGAAAATATTTTAAAGAAAAACTCTTCCAGTAATGTATGATGTAACTGAAAGCATAATGAAATTATACAGTAAAGTTTGCTAAAGGCATGTGGTATCTGCATACGAGGAGAAATAATGACTTATAGAGAATACAGAACATAATATAACATGGGCTTAAAATAAGTAAAATTTTAATATGTGAGAACCTAAAAATAACTAGACAAATAGGAACATTTATAAATAAAAGCTCTCAAGATGTAAAACAAATCATAGAAAAAAAAAATCTTAAAATTGAACTACTGAAGAAAAATAATTTCTTAATTTAAAGAAATGAATAGAGAACATTTATAGTTTTTAATGGTTAAATAACAAAGGATATTAAATAACTTCATAAGAGGAAATCCACAAGTTGATGTGTGAAAACCTATTAAACTTTTCTCATAATATTTGAATTTATTGTTATGTAAAATAAGGTAGTAAATATTCATTCAAACACTATTAAAATCTTTAAAACACCTTTTCCCCCCCAAAACCAGGGTTTGAACACAGGGCCTTGGGCAGGCTAAGCAAGCATGCTACCACTGAGCTACATTCCCAACACCCAAAATATCTTTTAGCTAGAAGTTTATTCCTACTTTTACAAAAAACAGGTACATCCTTTCAGAGGCAGAATATGATAGAATGAGGAATGAAAGAATCTGTACTTTAATTCTATTAGATTGTACCACCCGAGAAACATCACTTAACCTTTCCAAAAGTGAAGATTAAGATACTTGTGTTCACACCAAGCATGAAATGTATGGAAATATGAGCTAATATGAATGAGCTATGTTTTCTAAACCATAAAAACAACATAAAGTAAGGTATTATTTTCATCATGGAGTATTAGTTGCTAATCCCTCTTCTTCTGATCGGAGTAAGGAGAAAAAGACCATGAAGAACAGGTAAGTATAGGTTAAATTTTGTCCTTTTCTATCCAGTCTCTAATTGATACTACCACATCAACTATGCACAGAATAGCCTCAGGCTTAAATGAACTCCTTTGACTGAATCTTTATGCTTCAAGTCAAAAATCTCTCTCCAGGCATGTTTGATCTTCTTTGTTCTTTAAAGCTTCAGGGAAATTTAGCATCAAAAGCTTTACTTCTTTTTTCTGTCACTACAGATTGAAAGAAAAAAACCCTTATCATTAAAAAGGGGGATAGAATAGTTTTCTTTTCCTAAGTCTTACTGTATGTCCATTTCAGCTAGCACAAAAAGTTGCCCAGGTTAAACAGAATGACAGAGCACCTGACTTGCAAGTTCAAAACCCCCAGTTCTACCAAAACAAAACAAAACAGAATGACAATATAGAGTCCTCCTGTTCCTCTAGGAACACCTTTTCTCCTAACTTTCTAATTATGATATTGTTATACTTTAAAAACATGGACTTATTTTTTTAACTCCCTTTTTTCCTCTACAGAAAGATATCTCAGGTACTTTATTTAATGCCAACATTCCACTCAGTATCTAGCAAGAAATAAGAATCAATCCCTTTCCTTGATATACTAGACAAAATTAGCAAAACTACAGAAAAAAATGTAAATGCCATGCATTGTGGTATATAACTATAATCCCAGCTACTCAAAGGCTGAGGCAGAAGGATCATAAATTTGAGGCTAGTCTGGGCAAATTAAGGAGACCCTGTCTCAAAATAAAAAATTAAGTAAACGACTGGGGTGTCAGTCAGTGGTAGAGCTCCTGCCAGTATCCTGAATACTGTCCTGGGTCATAAAACAAAATTCTTAAGTTTCAAAGAATAAAAAGCAAGATGTGGTGGCACACACCTGAAATCCCAGCACTTGGGTGAGGCAGAAGGATGCCAAGTTCAAGGCCACCCTGGACTATATAGTGAAATGCTGAAGAAAAAGAGAAAAAAAAAAAAAAAGAATTGAAATCATACAAAGTATATTCTTTGATCAAATGGATCAAACTAGGAAATTTTCCAAACTTTGGAAATGAAGAACATATTTCTATATAATCAATGTATCACAAAAGAACTCATAAGAATTTTTTAAAATATTGAATGGAATGAAATTTAAAGTAAAAAATCAAAGTGGGATACAACTAAAGTAGCAATTCAATTTAATAACATTGTATTGTTTTAGAAGTTGTTCAATTAGAAAAAAAAATCTAAAATCAATAATGCAAGCACCTGATTCAACAAAACAGAAAAACAGAAACTAGGAAAAGAGAACTCCAAAAAACCAAGCCCCTCCTCAACGAAAATCCAAAACAATTAGAAAACTAATAATAAATGAAATTGAAAGAAGAAAAACTGAAGAAATCAAACTGAAAGTTCATTCTTTGAAAGTGTCAACAAAATTGATAAATCCCTAAGTAAGACCAATAAAGGCAAAAAAGAAAAGGAGGAAAAAGAGACCATCACTGTAGCTTTCATAGGTATTAACAGGATAGAATACAATGAATACCAGAA